ACATGGCTAGGGGAAAGTACAATGCTACATGTACTTCTAAGTGACAACCTTTTTGTAACGTTTTTGTAAGGCAAAGAAGAACAAGTGTAGTATCTAACTTAATTAGAGTTAAGCCTAGTAAGACACTGATGACAAGGATCCTTTTTTTTGCTTTTTGTTGGTAAAAAATACATTGGATTGTATATATAGCTCATCTTTGCTATGTAATGTTTGGTTAAGTGTCAAAGTGTAGCATCTGTTTTATCAATTTTAATTGTGCCAAGTATAGCATGTGTTTTATCAATTTCAATTATGACAAGTATAAACATGCTCTTACAATATAATATAGCTATACACAGGAATAAAGCTCACGAACAGAAATAAAGCTCACATATCCAATCACTTCTAGCAGAACAAACAAAGGGTAGACAAGAGGCATGGACCAATTGAGTTTTGTAAGTCTCCAACCAATACCAGGTGACATTACAATATAGCTACAAACATAAATAAAGCTCACATATATCCAATCAGTAAGAAAAATCAAGTTTCGCATCATAAGTTTGTCAATGAACACTAAGGAGGAACATGCAAATGCTATGTGTAATGTTAATTTAAAGATAAGAGAGACAATACTATGCGTAGAGTGTAGCGCATTACCCTCATCTTCATAGCGCTCAACAAACACAATTTCAGTATCGGACATCTCTAAGATGTGTTCAGAGATAACACAGGTTCTTACATAATTGGTCCTTTATAACACGAGTTCTTACATATTTAGTCCTCTATTATTAGATATTACCGCCATGGCTCTTCTTTTATGGGTACGTTTCAACAAATAGTCTTTTCAAGACCTTCTATCATGTTGGTGTTAATTTAAGAACTAAAAATTTAATTTCACATCCATCTTATGTCTAGTGATGTATTCTGATGTCGGTTAGAGGGACAACACAAGAATAATGATTTAGACTCTGGAGTGGGATTCCGACGAAAGACCACGTCTATAGTTTATGGTTGTATTAGAACGTGACTGCAATTCACAAACGATGCATCAGAAGCGACCTATGGAATTAAGCATGACAAGAATGATATGTGATCATTGTGAAATTATACTTTTAGCCCTCAAATTTACATGAACATGACAAACGAACAAAAAAAGAACTATTTGTAAAAAAAACCCCATGAAAGAAATACCACTGGGGTAATATTTGATAATAGAGGACTAAATTAAAGAATAAATGTCAGAGATGAATTGATTCCCCTGAGGAAGAGCATGTGTGACCAATACGAAATCAATTCAACGACGTAACACGATTGTGTTTTGAGGTGTTATGTTTTTCCTAATTAAATTTGCATGCTGTTCTCACATTTCTTATATGAACCATGCTAGGGTGCCACCACATGGGTGCTACCATGGGTGCACCCATTCTTCGCACAGACAAACACAGACGATTATTGTCTGTGTCGCACAGACAATTATCGTCTGTGTTTGTCTGTGTGAAGCATGGGTGCACCCATGGTAGCACCCATGTGGTGGCACCCTAGCATTTTCCTTTCTTATATTTGTAAAACGTATATATACGTAGTTATTAAAAAAGACAAAAAATGAGTATGGTCAACTGGTCAAACCATAACACACAAGAGCATACAAATAAGAGTACTCAAAATAGTCACGAAGCTCGAGGCTTACTTCAAATCTTCTCTCTATCACATCAACTTTACACTGTTTCAACTTACCTTAAAGGTTTACTTAAAATGAGTTTGAAGCCCGGTGCTTTAAACCTTTACTTTTTAATTTTTTTTATTACATATTGTGTAAAAGTAATTTAATAGGATTTCAATAATTAATTAAAATTAAATTATAATAATTCATTAAATAAAAAATACATTCAATAAAAAATAACATTAAATTTAAGTAAAAAACTACATTAATACAAAAAACTGAAGCATATTATATTTCGCCTTGATCTCGTTTTGTGTTCTCTCCTAATACATACGTTTGAATCCCGTTGACGTATGAATGTTGATTTCCATTGTTTCGACCTCATGCTTCCCTGTCTTTCGGTTCTCCCTCTCTTCTAGGGGTGGGTTCGGTTTTCACCCAAAATTAAAGACAAAACGGAAGGTAATATGCAGAGAATTTGCGTTTTTTGGTATAATACTTTTATTTTCCATTATAACCCCAAAGTTTTTTGACACTATGGAATTCATACATGAAAATAGTGTAAAATTCATACATAAATAGAACTATACACTTTTTGAAGGTGAAGAATTTATACATGAAAACACTCTTACATAAGTCAATGGACATTGCACTCCAACATGAAATTAAGGAACACAATAATACACTTACACACTGTCGTAAGACATAACAACATATATCCATTCTACACTGCCACGTTAAATACTGACATATAAAAAACTACATTGTCCACTACATAGTTACAAGTGAACAACTACACTGCCCAAAACAATCATATATTTTTGGCAGTGCGTTATGAACATTTACTGTTTAATTAAAGGACAAAATTGGAATCACATGTACGAAACATATAGCACTGCTATTTAGAGTATTTTAATGCTCTAAGAGTGCTATTTTGATTTTTCTCCCTTTTAATAGTTCATGTTTACGCAGTGATAAGAAAGTCATCCCTAGCTTTTCAACATCTATCATGCTTAAGAGGTTAAAATTATAAGATGAGCTTTTTCTGTCATTTATCCTTGAACTTTTCAAAAATTACTCCAATTCACCCTTAAGTATAAAAACTGTGCCAATGCCCCCTAAATTTTTAAAAATGTTCCACCAATGGTCCCTCTGCACCAGATTTGGGAGTGCATTAATTATACGCTCATCTAGTACATGTATAGATTAATCTAAAGTCATATATCACATAGTCACAAGTGATTTCTACAATATGTCATTCTCAAATATTATCTTCTATATTTTTGACCTCTTTGAACCTTAGATAATTATTCTTGATTTAGTTGTCACACCGGATTTGGAGGTCGAACATTGGTCGATAAAGCTCGTCATCAATCGTTTAACATTTTCATCAATTCATGACATCGATTTTCATCAAGCTTAAACACATATATTGATGAGTGTTTAATTAACCCACTTTGAAATCTGGCACAGAGGGATCATTGGTATAATATTTTTAAACTTTCAAGGGTACTTGTGCAAATTTTTAAAGTTCAGGGTAAATACGTGCAGTTTTTGAAAAGTTCAGGGGTAAATAGAGTAAAAAAACTCATTATAAGATTGAACAAATACTATACGAATGGATTTGAGAGATATTAAAAAAGTTATTTCCTCCATTTTCGAAAACAACCCTCCTTTCATTTTTTTTGTTTTTATCAAAATACTTTTACTTTTGCAAAAATGACTAATATATCCAAATAAAATCATCGCAATATACTTATCCTATTTGCATTGATATAATAAGTTACATAAATGATTTTTCTCTCTTTTTTCTTTGACACTAAGGATGTAATTTGAAAGTTAAATTACAAAAATAAATGTTATTAAGTCAAAATAATAACTGTTTTTGCAAACACAAGAAATATGTGTTAATAATAATCATTTTGTATTAATAGGCAGCAATTTTTTTTTTTATCATCATGTACCAAGAGACTAGGACAATTAAGTTCACTTTGGGTGGTCCACTAAGATAAGAAGTGAAAATCACTACTCCTTTTGGAGTTTATTTTTTTTTATTTTTTACTTTCTCAAGAGAAATGATTTTGTCCCTCTTTCCACTTTTATGCTTCCAAGAATCAAAGAGTACCAGAAAAGTTGATCAATTTGAGGTATATGCATCCAACATACATGTAATCCATACACATGAATAGAACATTGCTTAAAGAAAGCCAGCCATCGCCCGCCCGGGTCGGCCCAACACTATTACTGCTGCAGACTAATAATAATGGATAATAATAAGGAAAACGGAAAACAATGTCCTCAATAAAGACCCAATAATAATACTCAAAAAATTGTATTTTTTTTCTTTTGTGAAAGTATAAAATAATCTCGCTTACATGTAAGCAGACCTGTTCTAACTTATAATATACGGAGTAACAAATTTCTTAAACTTATAATTATAAACTTGAGATTTTGGTTAATGGTTCTTTAATACCTTTTTGATTTTTTTATACAATTTTATAGAAGAGATTAAAAAAACATTTTGAAAAAAGAGTAACAAAAAAACAAAGAAACCAAAAATGAGGGACCTTAGAGTTATTACCATAAAATATTAAGGCCCCGTTTGGTAAACGGAATTCAAACTATGGAATTGGAATTACAGACTTCAATTCCGATTATGGTGTTTGGTAGCACAGAAAGTATGTGGATTTGGAATTGATAGTGCAAAAAATGAATTGGAATGAGTGAATTCAATTTTATGGAATTGAATCCATAGAATTCCAATTCCAATTCAATTCTAATTCCATCAATTCCGTATACCAAACGGACCCTAAAGGTAAAATAGAAAAAAATACATTTATTAATGTTTACAGATGAAGTATTTGACGTAATATCATTACAATAAAATGTAAGGACCATTATTGTCTTTTCGAAAATAGAGAGACATGAGAGTTATTTTGACAAAACGTGCGTCACCCGTGAGTAATTTTCTGTAATATCTATATCTTCCATTGGTTATTTTATGTTCGTACACACTTGATCGCCACACATCTGCTAGTATCAATGTACAATGGTCAATGGATTAGATGTAGAACCTGCATTGTACCCTCAAGTTCCATGTTCCTATGAAATATCAAGAGCATTATAAAACTAATTAATATACAAACATACAATCCCAAACTTGTTGAACAGAGTCTTGACATATAACTTCCCATCTTATGATTGCATTTTCAAAGGCCCACATCTAAGATTGTGTCCCAAAAGCGAGCCAACTGTGCCAAGCAGAAAATTGTCTAAGTTTGTGTTGCATTATGTTGAACCAATGCTTTCTATAAAAGGATCTAACAAGCATTAATGTACCTTAGGTTACAAAAACAACCTCAACAGTCAAGACCATTTATGAGAACAGCAAGAAAAAAAATACTATATGATAACCAAAGGGCCCTAATGCTACCCAAAACACATGATGTTGGTACCAAATACACCACCACTAACCAATATGGAAAATAAACACATTCTGCTTCCCATTTGGGAGCAGCTATTTCTATGAGAATATCAACTACAGATTGTTTTTTTCTTCTTCTTCTTCTTTTGTTTCACAAATGGGAAACCCATTCATTCAGTGCTTGTTGCAATGGCCTGGTTTCACATGTGCATTTTTGTTCCCTATACACTGCTTGGGGATTTCATGCATCTCCAAAAACTGAGTTGTCCGCTGCTTCTTGGCTAAACAAGAATTACATACAAAAAACATAACGGATAGCTTAAAACTTTACGCTTTGGTTTGTATTTTATATTCATCTGATGTAAAATGGCCCAACAGCTAGAATATGTAGCAGTTTTTGAAGTGGGTGGGTAGGAGAAGAGAGGGTACCAACCGGATTCAAGAGAGTCGTAACGTTCTTTAAGTTTCTTCTTTGCCACTTCCAGTTTTGCCCTGATCGAGTCTTCGTCTTTACACTTCACCTCCTGATGGATCAGTGGCATTAAAGACGTTTGAGAGTAGTTCGACAGATGAAACGTAAAACAAATCCCAATTTAAAGCTTACACTTGGTTGAGAAACATGACACTTCTTGTCAATAGTGGCCTTATGTTCCACGGGTTGTGGTCTTTTGGCAGAAGCCTTGTTTGGTCTGCTGGCAACTGGTTTCTTAATCGGGGTTTCATGTTCCTTTGGTTGTCGAGTAAACCAATCTTGAGAAGAAGAAACCATTGGTTTCTTTTCTTCTGCCTTTGGTTTGTTAGTAAACATTTCTTTAGGAGCAACCGATGATGGTTTCTGCATCGCAGCTTTCTTTAGGTCATTCTCAAACTTGTTGTTGGTCTCCTTGCTGTTTCGAAGATCTGAAACAGACGTCAATCAGAACAGTTCACTTCCATCTTCATTCACGGTTTATTGAACCAAGGTAACAACAACAATAAACCCAGTAGAATCCCACAAGTGTAGGGTTTGGGTGGGTTTATAGAGGATCTTCATGGTTTATTGTGAAAGCATTTATAAGAAAGCATATATTAAAAACTCACTTCCAATTTCATCAATGTCATCAAAGAACTTGCACGGTTGACATGAGAGCAAAGGAAAAAAAACAGACTAGAACGAGTCAATGCCAAAACATGAGAAAAGGAAAAATGGAAATTTAGAAGAGAATAAGAGATTCATAGTGAAAATACTTGTGATAGATCCATTGTACTAGTAGTAAAGAAAGCTCCCTCATCCAAGGGAGGAGATGGTAGCCCTTCTTCCTCTTCTTCTTCTAAAGCCCTTTCTCTACCTATATCAACACAAAGGTTGGAAAATCAATGTTCGGCTAAGGGTCTGTTTGGATGGAGAGTTTTGGAGAGCTTAATCTTTATCTTGATTAACAGAATTTGTGTGAATACAAATAAAAGGTGATTGAAATGCTCTCCAGACAGAGCCTAAGAAACTACCTGTCACAGTTTCTGTAACAATGACCCATTCATCCACTTTGGCTTTCCAAGCACTGCAAAAGTGCAATCCAACAAGGAGTACTGTTTTAGTAACACTAACATGAAAAATCCATGTTTATATCAGACCTAATGGTTTTGTTCATACCCAATCAATGCACGGACAAGATGGTTAATTTTTGCGGATTTCCGCTTTCGGAGAGCATTTACAGACTTTCCAATGTCAGTGGCCTGAACCCAAACCAGCAAAACTGCTTTTTAAAGCAACATATTTAGACAACATTAAAGAAGGAAAGAGTAAAATCAAACCTTTAGAATCTCCACGGACAAATCAATCAATTGAAGTTTTCTCAGGGAATCAATCACTAGGGACTGGGACTGTCAGAAAAGGAAACGCTAATCAACACTATATTACTCCCAAATAGCCAAGAAAATCTAACAACAGTTGTTAAAGTTCAAGAAGGACATCACACAAAAGTACTTGCAAATATCAGTTAAGGCTAAAAGTTAATCACATACCTCAGAACTAATGCCATTTTAGCAATAAAAACACCATCATCGTTTCAAATTTTCGTTACAGATTCTACATTCCATGAATTGATCAAGAAGTACAACAAAAAAAACAACAAAAAATCCCACAAAAAGTAGGGTTTGGGGAGGGTGTGCACAAGCAGACCTTACTCCCACAGTCCCACTCGGAGGTAGAGAGGACGTTTCCAGTTGATCAAACAGGAAACAGAAATTAATAGACAGATACACTTTGAATTTCATTGATGTAGAGCTTGACCAAAGAACTTCATACAAGATCCCTATAAATTATTAAGCAGAACAGCATGATCAAACAAAACAAAGTCATCAAAAAGAGAAATGATATTAACCTCTTCGTCATGGTTATCAATGATCTTCTTGATCCTCGAGACCTCCAAAACAGTCTGAGATTCTTCCTCAATCTCATCATTCAAAGCCTCAACATCTACATAGCTGCTCTGGTTCATGACATCTGAGTCCATCTCCAAAGGTTCATCTTTCTTTTTGCTCTCTTTACTCTTATCGGCCTCAGTTTTCTCGGGCTCGGCTTGTACATCATCCACACCAGCCGGAAAAAGCAGTCCAGCATTGTTGCAGGAGGAACACACGGTTGGTTTACAAGTAAAAAGCATCTCGGCTATTCGAGCTCGTTTCAGGGCCAGCTCATTGGGTTTGTCTATGGCTGCCATCTTAATAACCTGCTCGATTATACCGAATATATCGGCATTGGCACTCTTAAAATATACCCTCCATTCATCAAGACTGCCTGAATTCTCACCCATATCAAGAACCCTACAGAACCTATCTCTACTCAACAAAAACTTGAATCTTTATCAATGCCCAGACATAAAAAATCAATCTTTTGTTGGTTTTAAAGAGACCCAGATTGAGACAAGCGAATTTAAGAGCACCCGGAAAAAGACAACTTTTTTTTTCAACCTGTTTTGATCGGTTACAAAATTTGAGCTCTACACAGAAAATCTCTGACTGTGAGAGGCCGAAAGTGAACGAGACAAACGAGATAAAGATATCATCGAGAGAAAGCCCCGCAGGAAGAAGGAGAATATATGTTGAAATCAATTTCTCACTCGAGAATAGAATAGAGTGTAAGGTGGTGCCGCATAGCCAGTGAGAGCGAGGGAAAGGAGTGATGAAGGTCAAATATTGCGACTGTTTGTTTGGCAATAAATAAATTTTACACGCGTCTATTTTTAGTATTTAATTTAAGTCAACATTTTTCTTTTTTGAAAAAAAAGGAGTTCTTTTTCTTTTAACAAAAGACCAGTGAAAAAAGGAAGAAGTGGGGAGAGATGTATGTGTACTCTTCAAAATACCCAATGCAGACTATTTATCCAAACTTCAATTTCGTCTCAATATTCACGATTTTTTCACCCAGACAAGAAATGGCTCAGATGTTACAATTTGTTTTTATTTTTAATAGAGAAACAATACTAGAGAAACGCAATGTGACGGGGGGCGCAGTAATAAGTACAAACAACCGAATAACAAACACTTTTACAAAGTTAGAAGTAGAACTTTACAAAGGGATCAATGTTTTTCATGTGACAGTAAATAAAATAAGGGCACTCGAAATACGTATGTGTCCCGGAGCTTCAAACTTTCTCTCTCTGTCACGTCAGCTTTGACTTATCTCACAGATTCACTAGAAATGTTTTGAAGCCCATGGACTTCAAACTTTCACTTTTTACATTTTTAAAGAAACATCTTCTAAACGTAAATTAGTAAAATTTAATTATTTAATTATATTGAAACGAGAGTAATTCAAAAAAATTACATTCATTAAATTAAAAGAAATTAAAGCGACAATAATTTTAAAAAATTACATTCATGAAATTTAAAAAAATTAAAGCGACATTAATTTAAAAAATACATTTACAAAAACTAAGGTAAATTATATTTAGCTTTGATCTCTTTTTGTCTTCTCTTGAAGATCATACGTTTGAAGCCCGAAAACGTATCAAGCATTATTTCGATCTCTTCCTTCTCTTGCTTTCTTCTCGCTTTCTCTTCTTCTCGAATATTGAACATCCGAAGTTGTTCAACCATTGCCCGACCGATATCATCGTGAGAAGAAACAAAAATAGAGCCGGACCCTCTAGAACCCGAGGAAATGGATTTTTCTTTCTTTCTTCCGATCGGCCGTGGAATGGAGTCCTCGTCAACATAGAAGGGAGGCCTTTAATTTGTTCGGATGAACTGATAGTATCATCGACCTCAACCTCAGCGTCGACGGAGGATCTTTTCTTTGAGAATCGGCGTCGAAATTGTTGAGTTGTTGCCATTTCGGTGAACGGCTTAAAATTCTCCAAAGATCGATGGGCACCTTGCCTTGATGCCCGTCGTCTTGATACTGGGCCGTGGCAAGCCGGAGAACATCGGCATCGTTCGTTCTGCTCCTCCGGGACCGAGTGCATTCCTTGTAAACTCCGATAAACTTTCGGACTTCATGGTTGATGTGGCCCCATTTGGAAGTGAGTTGGTCCCAAGTACGGTACGAGGCGTCCTTGTTCACTGCCATAAAGTACTTCTCCTCGATATGATCTCACATCGCATCATTCGTTTGCTCCGAACCTATAAAAAGTATAACACGAATTTTTTAACACAACAAAATAATACGAATATATAAATAAGAACACAGATATATTAGAAAACATATAATTCTTACCAACGATAGGATGCTCGGAGACGTCAATCTAAGCCGACGCCAACAAGCACTCTTCCTCCGGCGTCCACTTTTGGATTGACCGTGCCGCCTCGATCATCGCTTGAGTGCCTTTTGCTTTGTGGCCTTTTCGACGTGTAGTTTTTTCGGTGCCGGATGGTTCCGTTTGAGTCTCCGAAACCGACTCCCGCTCATAGATGTACGCCGATGGTTGCGTCTTGAACAACGTTGGATTACTCCCGTATTGTTGGAAGATCCACATGGCGTGCTCGTTAGACTCAAGATCGTCTGGAGAAAATCCGGTGTAACACCCTAATCCGCCCAGGTCTGCAGCCTCTTTCGGACTAAAGTATAAACTTGGTATTCGTAGACATTCAAAAATATTTCAAACATTTAAAACTTTATTTGATAATAAGTCATTCAAAATAATAACGGAGTAATTTAATGTTGCGGAAGCTTAATAAAAAAACATAATACAAACATAATTAATTTATGTCTTTTCAAACAGTATTCCAAATCCAAAACATACATCCGCCCGACCATCTCGTCCCATCTGCCTCCATGAAATCATTGCTTCATTCTTTTTGTTTACCTGCATGTAGCAAAAAAACATACTACACGCTCAGCGTTTAAGCTAAGTAAGCATATCTAATGCGTCGAACATCCATATAAACTGAATCTAAATTCATAATCAAATCATTTGATATAATGCACATAATGTTCAGTTCAGATACTCAAAAAACATTAGTCAATATTCTTCATTCATTATTTTATTTTCACATTTCAACGTTTATCCGTCATTTATAATAATTACAATATTCAATTCAATATTCATCATTCAATATTTATTTATATTCAATATTCAATATTTAACATTCAACAATATCCTTAAATTATTCTTAGTCTAAGGCCAATCACTTTAATATTTGTCAACCCTTAAACGAATTCTAGTTAAAATAATTAAACTATATTCCAGTATAAAGTACTTCTAAATAATCTTTAAGCTATGGCTAGTTTAAGATAAAAGGGTTTTGAAAATCTTAAACTTACATTCACTTAAGGCTAACCAAAAACTGACAGCGTAGTGTTCACTGTTGGGTGGGTGGTACCCCCAAACGAGTAGGTACTCAAGTTTGGATCTTGGATCCCGTACGTACGTTTTAACCCTAGCCACTGGGGTTCACACCCGCAAGGCCTAGCTTAAACGGGTATATCTTAGAGGTCTTCTAGATACCTTTCAAATCAACATTGATATGAGTATATCTTAGAGGTCTTCTAGATAATCTTAACAATACATATTATTTTTAATATATTCATTATGATTTAATAATTCAAAATTATCATTTTTAATCAGAATATTCATCAAGGTTTAATCATCATAATCATCAATCAATAATCATTACCATAATCATCAATCAACATAATATTCAATAACAATTAGCGGCCTAGCTTCGGGTGTTAACACCCTAACTTACCGTCATGCATCACATAATATTTTTATTTGTTAAAAACATCACTTTTATTGTGAAAAATTATTTTTATAATGATCATAATCAATTGGTATCAAAAATAGGATTTTAAAGCTCAAAAATAGCATTTTCGGACAAATTTTCGGATCAGATTTTCGGGAGATCGATCCAAACTAGAAGAAAAACTCCTAGAGGATCGATCCAGACAATGGTTTTTCAGCCACTGTTCATCTTCTTCAACCTTCGGTCCATTTTTTGGAAATACCACTTTTAATCACCGAACTTCAACGAAACTATATAGAGATGTTATCTAAGGTTCATAGATCATTTTGGAATCATCAATTCATATTTTTTTTACATCAATTTCATGGTTTATGATTCTTAGTTACGTTCATCAAGCATGTCAAACACAAAACTCAACGAAGTGATCATTTATGAACGTAGAAACGATCTATACGAATATAGCTCGAAGCTTACATCGAAGCTTAATGGAGGTTTTGAAGATTTTCCAACAAAACTTTTGGCGACAATAGCTATCAACTCCGGTGACCTCACACCAAATTGACAACACCACTGTGTTCTCCACACTCAAAGCTAACTCTCAGAAGAAATTTGAGATGAAATGGTGAAGAATTGAGTTCAATGAGTTATCTTATATAGAGGAAGAAATAGAGAAGAAGCCAAGCTTGGTGATGTGTCCGTTCTTGTTTCGGCGTCTCAGTGGGAAAGGCTGCGATTTTCACGATTCCAAATGCAAGTCTCTAATTAGGACTAATTTCAGTCCCAATCGGGAAACACTTTTTGGTCCAACTTTCTCCGAATTGAAAACTGTTTGCCCCGTTGCGATTGTACAATTAAACTCTATCCAACGATATAACTTTTATATTTCTCTGTAATACTCTTTCCGACATCATATTTTTCGGTGGTTGACTTTGACAGATTCAAAATTGATTTATTTGACCTTTACTCAAAAAGGTTCTTACATTTCATTCATATTATTTATTCTCATGATTTATCTCAATAAATCATTTCAAAGTTCATATCATAAACAAATTTCTTCATTTATCCTTGATTTGGGTCTGTACTCAGGTTCCCAAAATAAATAAGGCCACAAAATAAGTCAACATATTGGATTTATTTTCATGAGACTTATCGAGATTTTGATATTGGATATTCGATATCTACTTCATAGATATTGTTCAACATAAATCATTTCTTCAGCGTCATCTCACTTTCCTACAACTTTGTGATATAGATCAGTTTTGTCACTCGCGATGCGATGCGCATGTTGATAACGTATCAGAGGGTCATATATTTTTCGTTTATTCTTTTGTCTCTTCACTGAGTACAAAATTTCAACTTAAGTCTATGTTCGATATAATTTTTGTACTAACAATTGTTATCAAATGAGAATTTAACACAGTCAATATTTACCAAGAAATTTGAAGAAATTTAACACAGTCAATTGTCGACATTGGAAAAAAATTTGGGGGGGATCACTAGAAATTTGGTCGGAAAACTAAGAGTTCTCTCTGAGAATAAGAAATGTTTTTTTCTTTCTTCTCCTCTCTCACATATGGATCATCTCAAGAAAACAAAAGAGATGCCTCATCTTAAATAGGCATAAATGAGGTTCTAACAGTTGTAACCTATGCATTGGAATGCATTAAGTCTCACTTATGTACAGTCAAGTGCATTAAGTGGTGTATAAAGCACAACTAAATGCCCCTCAATTTTTCTTGACTCATTCAATTCTTTTATATTATGATAAAATATGATAGAAATTGGTTAAAAAATAAAATATGCATGTGCATGCTCCAACCATTGTCTTTTATTTAATGAGTCAATTTTGAGAATTAATTTCTCATTCACCTATATACCATTTTGGCATATAAATTGTCACATTAATTAACGGTCCAAACCTTTAGTGAACCTATTGATAAATATACCCAAGTTTGTCCATTTAATATCCATTAAAAATGCCAAAAATTCCAACACTTTAGGTGCTCAACTTTCTTCTCGTGTTACTCAAGTCGTTCTTTGAAATAGCATCTCTATTTCGAGTATGGATAAAGTTTGCATACCCACACCATTCAAATCTTAATTTTGTGGTATCTACTAGGTTGCTATTGTTGTAGATATTTTAAAACTATGTTTTATTTTAAAATGAATCTATTGATATTAAATTTATATTCACAATTTAATGTATTATTTCAATTGTGTTCAAATTTAAAAAAATTGATTGAGAAGATCAAAATGAGAAGAATCAAAGTGGACGAAAAATGATCTGACCTATTTTTGACTCGAGATATTATTAAAAAATACTAGTTCTAAACAAAGGTTTTTGTTGACCGAACTCGAAAATGACCAAACCCAAAATGACATACTAATAATGGTTTAAACCTTATCGAATATGAACTCAACCCACCAACGTAAAGGTTTTTCAAAATCATGTACTTTAAAATGAAAAATAATTTTAAAAAATTAGCTTATATTTTTATTTTTTTCTTATTTTTATTTTTTTGTGTACAAGGTTTTATTTTCAAAATAATTTTTTAATGATATCACAAAATTATATTTTTCAAAATTGGTATTTCGTACATATTTAATTTTTTATATTATTCATACTATTTTTAAATATATCTAAAATGAATTAAAAATTAAAAATAAAATATACTAATAGCTCTAATATATGTAATTTGATATTTTAATATTTTAAGTGTAAAATATAAATACTAGTATGAATTTAAATATTCTAAAAATAAAGTTTATAACCTTTGGATCGACTCAATCTGGTAATACTGGATAATGAATATGTAATTCTCAACTAGAGCCTAAATTTATCTGAATCTGGTGTAACCTGAAGTAGAAGTGATCAAACTTGAACCCAATATGACCGATTGGTTTATTAAAATTCATGGGCGATGAAAGTAAATAGGGAAATGTAAGGGGTATCCCAAAATTATACTCCCTCCGTCCACAAATAAATTTCATGTTTACTATTAATAAGGTCAAATTTTATTCACTTTGTTGGCCTATTTTTGTTACCCATTTTATAAAATAATTTAGTCATCTCACCTCTAGTTTTGTAGATCTTTGGATATAGTTATTAAATTTGTAATTTTTATTTTTAAATTTTACACCATTTTTTATATAAAATGATTTGAAAATAACTTCAGTCAAATATCGTAACACGCAATGAGAAATTTATTAGTGGACGGAGGAAGTATACTTTTTGTACATCAATTTCAAACACAGACATAATATTTGCACCTAAACATGAATGAAATATTAATAATCAATTTCATGCAATACCAATCATCCAACAGTTGCTGAAGCATGGGCTGTGTTGCAGGGAAGGTGGGCATGGAAGAAAGGTTTGCGAAAGCTGATTGTCCAATGTGATTTATTAGAGTGTGTTGAATGGATTCATGGTAGACACATTACAAGAGGTTCGACGCGCGAAGTGATTGAGGCATGTCAAAGTTGGATGAGAAGAGATTGGAATGCTACC